AGGGTGACAGTTATTTTCAAATTAAGAGAAGAGCTGAGAATAGGCAGCTCTAGACCGTGGGTTGAGGCTCCAAAATCGGCTTAGTTTACGAATTCTGTGACCCACCGATCCGCGCTACTTGGCATTCGCACAAAAATGTCAATACTATTTTATTGAAACATAATATAATTGTCGGCAATCGTAAATTTGGGGAAACTGTAACCAAAAATGAGAATTTATCTTCGAAAAAATAATGTCGTTCACGAAAGCATTACCCAATCACAGCACACTTACCATACCTGTTAAGCATTGATGAGACGCTATTAGCCAATCACAAACGTTCTTGTAAACTCGTTAACTAATGTAAACAATGTCGCGAGGAAAGTGACAATGTGTAGCAATTTGGACGAAAGTTCTCCGGTTTTAGTGGAATATTTCAATATGATAGAAGTATACCAGCCTTTAAATAAAATACATTGGTAATAGTTGTAAGATTTTAGAGGTAGTAAATTGCATTTCCCGTCTTCTGTCGACTGTCATACCGTAGTTTTTAAAGCCAAAGTCGCCGTGCTGTACTGATATTATGTGTATTGTATTACTTATCTAGGCCTACATATGCATAGTAGGAAGGGCAAGAAGTAATGTTCATCGACTTTGAATGAGACAGGAAATTCCTGTCAATATATAATATATTTTTGATTCTATTTGGAATCGCTTTTTTTTTTCTATAATTAAAAAAATGTACACTTTAAAAAAAAAACTGAGGCTGAATTACTTCAAAAAATAAGAACACATTGAGGCTGATGTAAAATGTTCATGTTTTTATTTGCATGCAATGTAAATAATTAACATTAATCAGTATTTCTTGCCATGCCTGTTGATTTTTGTTTAACTGCTTGAAGGCCTTGATAATATGGACTGAATTAATGAATAAAAGTAAAGCAATTGATGATTCCAATAAGGTGAAACAAATAAATTTTTAATATACCTCAGTTCAGCCAGTTGCATCCCATCAGCACTTTCATTATCTCTCTGATTACTCACTGGGTATATACATTTAACTACACAACAGTAAACACAAGGTTGAAAGAAGTTTATGACAAAAATCTGAACTTTTATATGAATATTATTGAAACACTGTAGCATATCATATACCTACACAGAACTGCTTTAAACATAGCTGAATATAGAGTTCAATCCAATCCACTTATAAACATGTGTTAAATATTACAATTATATAATATTATCAATGTAGCCAACCAGCATAAACAATTTAAAAGAAACTAGAAATAATAAAAGTTTTGCTGTATTCATTATCATTTATCAGCAAGTACTGTTCTGTTATTTTCTTCTTTTCATATTGCATTGTAAAATACAATACAATGCAATTCAAAAAGTCAATGCAATTTTTTATAAAGAAAATAAATGTGTTGTTGATAAAGGTTCATACAAGGAAAAACCTTAATAATATCTGGTAATATTTCTCAACACTGTGTGGTATGATGTCATATCAAATAGATAACAACATTCATACAAACAGTATACAGTTACAATCTGATAGAACTACAGTACTTTCAATTGATTCATGTTTCTATCCATGGCCTATAATATTGCCTGAATTGCCACCAGATCCTTATCCCTCATG